GCCTGGCGACTCACGTCGCTGTCGTAGGAACTGCTTGGGACGGTCTGGAGGAGGCCGCCGCTGCGCCAGGCGGGTGGTCGCCTCTGGGGCTCTGGAGTTCCCGGTCGCCTCCGGGGCTCTGGTGCGTCGAGCGGCACGCGCCGGGCCCACGTGGGGAGCGGGGGCACCCGGACGCGGTGGGCAGCAGCGCGCGCCAGTGCCTCGTCCACCTCGGGGCCCGGCTGCGGCGGCCCGGGCCGGTGCCGCTTGAAGTTGCACGTGTGGTAGAGGGTGGCGAGGCGCGCCACCGTCCGGGGAAGGCCGTTCTCACCCTGCGGGTCCTCGGCGTACTCCTCCTGCAAGCCAAGCCCCAGGCGGTGCAGGGGGCATGCATGGGCGATGGTGCGCGAAGCAACGCATACGCACCACCAGGCGCCGCGGCACTGGAAGTAGTGCGAAATCTGGTCCGCGCCGTCCTCGCAGCCCCACCGGCACCCAAGGCGGGGTTGTCCCACGTGCATGCGGTAGGACGTGGGCCAAGCGCCAGCGAGGGTGCGGAAGGCTGCCCAGCACTTGCCCGGGGCAGCGACCGCAAGCTGGGCTTTGAGGCGAATCCACCTCTGGCGAAGGTCGGCAGGAACCGCACGGTCTGGCCACCATGCTCTGAGGCGGCGCCGGATGGTGTTCTGGAAGCCTTCCGGGAAGGGCGCCTTGGATGCGGCGTCCGCGTGAGCCCGCTGCAGGCGTGCCTTGCGGTGAGCAACAGCAGCCGCGCCAAACTCGCGACGGGCCGCGGCATTGGCCAGCTCAGGGCAGCCCTCCGGCGCCACTCCAACCGCTCGCTGGGCGCGGAGACCGTGGCACTGTCCACTGACATGAGGTACTGCACCATGGACTCGGTTTGGGCGCAGTGCAAAGCACCCCAGCGGCCTGAGATGACGACGGTGGTCGGGAGAACGTCCCACGCTCGCTCAAGCCAGGCGTCCCCGAAGGCCCTCCACCCCGAAAGCGTGGCGTTGGCTGTCCGCCACGCGGCAGCCCAAGCAGCCGGCAGCAGCGCGGCGAGCGCGGGCCCCGGCGCCCAGGTGCGCAGGCTGATCAAGTCAGCCAGTGCGAACGACTTCGGCGGAGCCTTCAAAATGCGGCGCAGCACGTCCAGCTCGCCGTTGACGAGGTTTTCCGGCATCGGGAGCAGCTGGGCGAGGTAAGTCAGGACGGAGACCACGGAGCCGTTGTACTGCGTGACCAACTCGGCGGTCGGGACCAGCACGGTCTTGAGCGCAGCGACGCGCTGCTTGTATTTCGTGGCTGCCGCATGCCATGCGTCCATGAGGATGGCCCCATGGACCCAGGACGAATCCAAGGTATTTTACTTTTGATGCGATGGTGAAGTCAGCCCATCTCGGTGCCAGCGCCCTGAGAGCCGAGCGGGCGGAGCCGATGGACTCTGCAAGGTCCGCAGCGGCCAGCCAGAGTGGCACCAGGACGCACTTCCGCGGCTGCAGGCGCAAACATGCAAGGCGCTCGATGGCCTGAGAATGCGGTTCAATGAAGGCGACGAGGCAGATGTCCTAGAGCACGACCCCCATGTCATCAGCGCAGACGCCGAGCTCCGCGTCCCGGCCAGGTCCGACAATCGGCGCCTCGCGGGGTGGGCGGCTGGCCAGCGAGCGTGAGGGCAGGGCCAGGGCACCGGCGAGGGCCTCCACGAATGGTGCCGTCGCGAGGGCTCACGGAGTGCCCGAGAGGGGGCAGCCCTGGGCTACGCCAGTGAGGACAACGCACACATAGAACGACTGCGACCCGATGCGCGTCCAGCATGCCCGTCGCGCAGCGCCCTGATGAGCTGGAGGTAAGAGTCGGGGATGCCGAACTGGGGGAGTGCCGCAAAGAGCCAGGCCCATGCAAGGCTAAGAAACGCCGCTGCCACGTCGAAGGAGACGAGGCACGGGCGCCGCTGGGCGAGGGCCTCGGCGGAGTCGAGAGTGGCGACCCTCGCCTGGGCATCCAAAAGCCACGCGTCTCCAGGAAGTTCCGGCCTCTGGCGAGGCCGCGCCGTGGGGCGGGCGCGGCGGGCAAGTCCCCCTGTCGAAGATCGACCCCCAGCGCGCTCGCAGGGCGGCGGCCATTCCAGCGGGGTCGGTCGTTACTCCACGGCCCGCAGGCGGCAGGGGGGCGGCGCCGCCAGGGGCGGGAGGCGCGGCAAGCCGGATCCCGGGCTGGAGTACGCCTGCCAAGATCTGGACGCTCTTGAAGGGGCGCCAGAGCTTCTACTTCTGAGCAACTCTCACCGCCCTGCCTTTCCAGAAAGCGCCGCATGCCTGGGCGCCTCGCTGCTGGGCCGCGGAAGCGTTGGCCAGCGCAGCCTGGCGGCCCCGGCCAAGCACCGCGGATCCTGCCCGACGAACCGCTGCAGCGAAGCGCACGGGGTCCGAGAGGACACAGCCGGCAGCAGAGATTGTGAAGTAGGCCGCCAGCGCCGGAGCTGAGTGCACCAGCACTCTGAGGGCGCGGTCGTCCTCGCGCCAATGTGCGCGGGCTGCGGCGCGGAGGACGAGCAGGTGTGCGTCCGGAAAAGACGCTCTGGTGCTCAGGTCCGGCTCTCGGGTCAGCACGTCCCGCGTGGCGCGGGCGGCTACCGCGACGTTGGCTTTCGTGACCTTCCACGCCTCGATCGGGTCCTCGGGGGCCCTGGTGACGTCCATCACCTTCTCAAACATGGTGGCGAATAGCGGTTCTTTGCAAATCCATGGGCCTTGGCACGGCTCAATTCCAATACGAGGATGCCGTGGTCGCTGAGCTTCCTGTCTAAGACCGCGGCGGGTCTGAGGCGAGGTAGTATGGAGATGCCGTAGACAGCCTCGGGCGGCACCGAGACGTAGAGCCTGTCCAACGTCGAGGATTTATGCCGGTGCACGTCGCAATGCGTTGGGGAGTCGATCTTGGCTTCCAGGAAACAGCCGAGCACGTGCTGCCAGTACCGGGGTGCGGCTTGATCACGGCGTGCCCCGCGCTGTCGAGTCCGCCGCGGATCCTCATACGATTAATGGGCGCCGTCGTCAAAGTTGAGGTCCCCCCCAACCACCACCAGGCGTTGGAGCGGGGCTGCGGAGGCCCATTCGCGGTACGTTTTCACTTCTCCAGCCAGTCGGTGCCGGTAGTTGTGAATGTTCAGCAGCGTGAGTTCTGAGGCACTGCCTGTGGGACAGCCACGAAGCGGCAGCGGCACGTCGGCCACGCGACCAGGGCAGCGACCCTCGTGGCAATCTAAACGGTCGCCGTCAGGGTCGCCCGAATGACCAGTTGGCGAAGAAGTGGGCGATGAGCGTGAGCATGAACGGGACGTGGACGACGTGCCGGTCGTTCTCGAGGAGCTTGTACTGATAGAGCGTGGACTGGAAGATGCCGCAGAGTGGCTGGCAGAATGCGCAGTGCCCGGTCCCCCTGCGCACTCGGAGCGCGCAGGCGAAGAGCATCGTGAACATACTGGCGACTCTGGAAGGGCGTCTGAGGGCACGGCCTCAGGCTGAGGCTGGCCAGGCTGCATTTTTGTGGGTTCGTCAGCCGGCGGAGGTGCGGCGAACGACAAGGACATATAGGGGAAAGACCCGGCCGTTCCTCGTGGATCGTGGCCGGAGGCTTCGCGATATGGAGGGCCGCGACGCGGCCAGGAACGATCTCGTCCATCCTCATGTGGTCCTCGACGGGCCCTGGAGGATTCCCATCGGAACCAAGAAGGCCAATCCGCCATATCGATACGGGAAGCTCGAGAGCCATGCCCTGAGCCGCTCCTCATCGCCGTGGGCCTCCTGGACCATGACAACCGCACCTTTTTGTAGGAACTTCTGCAGCGCCGCCTGCTTGCGCCTTCGTTTACCACTGGAGGAGCAAAATGGGCTATGTGCATTCCAAGTCACCACAATCAGGGGGCTGCACGGATCCGCCCAGGGGGCCCAGCACCGGCTAGGACCACGGCACGTTGGAGCCCTGGTCCCGGAAGAGCCTGTGGAAATCGTTGTCGATGAGGTCTCAATCGATGCCGAGCCGTTTCGCCTCAGGCCGCTTCCACTCGATCTTGGAGGGCTCGTCGGGCACGTTGGGGACGATGATCCTGGCGATTGGCATGCGGTCGACTTTGACCTCGCCCTTGCTGCGGTTGGGCCTGAAGTCAAGCCTGCCATAGTTGGGCTCCAGGGTCTGGGCCAGGCGCTTGGTCTGGAACTCCACGCGCTGAATGCGCGGAGACCGGTCAGGGTTGATGTATAGGGATCCTGCGGGACCAGCCACGGTGGGGCGCTGAACTGCCGCCGACGCCCGTCTGGGGACTTGAGGGCCTGGGCCATGGCGAGAGCGCGGGCGTTGCCGACGAAGCCGCCGTGCACCTCGACATGGACTCTCCGGCCAGGGCAGGCGCCATGGAGCGTGATGTGTTCTTGCTGTAGTCCTGCGGCCTGCAGCCAGGAGCTGAGGGCAACCTGCACTGCTCCTGGGGCTGTGTCGTCCTTGGCGTTGACCGTGAAGAAGCTTGGTTCCGGGTCGCGATCCCAGACGGCGAGGCGCACGAGGTCTGTGACGCCCGCGGCACGCTCCGCGATGCGAATCGTTTCTTCGATTTCGCGGACCTTCCCGGCCAGGACCGCCTGCTGGGCCTCAGTGGCGTCGACCCGTGCGGAACATTCGTGGACCTCGTCGCGGAGCTCGTCGACCTTGCCGTCCAGCTTGGCGGCGTGGTCGGCGACGTGGCCAGAGACCTTGTTGTGGAAGTCGGCCGTGACGGCCCGGCAGGCCGTCTCAAGCTGGGTTGCGGTGCTGCCCAAGATGTCTGCCAAGGCAGTGCGCATGTCCTCAGGACAGGAGGCCGGGAGTCGGTCGACGGACTCTTTGACCCGGTCACTGAGGGAGGGCCCGGCTGGCCCGGGGGCTGCAGGGCGAGCGCCAGCAGCCGCAGCATCAGGAGGAGGAGGAGGAGGAGGAGGAGGAGGAGGACCAAAGAGGAGGACGGAGGGGATGGGCAGGCGCACCGAGGAGGTGCCCAAATCGAAGAAATCTACGCTCTGCGCGTCCAGCAGGGAGGCCGTGGACACCTGCTGCGCACAGGAGGCGCTCCTCGCTCGCTCCGACGGGCCAGCGCTCCTTCCTTTCCTCCTCCTCCTCCGCCTCCTCCTCCTCCTCCTCCTCCTCCTCCTCCTCCTCCTCCTCCTCCTCCTCCTCCCCCTGCGCCAAAAAAATGGGACGCCCGGGGGCCATGGCACGGCGCCAATAAAGCAGGAACGGTCCAACTTGGTCGCGCCTAGGGCGTAATTGGCAATCTAGACGAGAAACACAACCCCCAAGGCCATTCGGTCATCCACACTCGTCCTCCTTGTCAGCTCACCGATCTCACCTCCTCATCCTCATCCTCTACACTCCTCCACATCCTCCTCATCCACACTCCTCATCCTCCCCACTTGTCCTCCTCTCTCCGCTCTGATCATCCTGCACCTCCACCTCCTGCTCCTCCTTCGCTCCGTCCCTCCTCATCCTGATCCTGTTCCTCCCCCTAATCCTCCTTCTCCTCGTTCTGTTCCTCTTTCTCCTCCTCCTCCTCCTCCTCCAGCATACGACTACCCATAATGACAAGCTATTATCATTTATCCCCCCTGATCATGTCCAATGCTGCAGTCGCCTCTCTCGCGCACGATGGTTCTCACACGCAGGACGTCAATATGTCCTACTCCCAAACTTGCTTTTCGACTCAACATGTCTGGTCGTTCACAGGTGGTTATGCCGCTGCAGCGCCGGCCAAATGTCAGGGCCGGCGCCGGCGCTTTGCTCTCGTCGTTCAGAAAGGTGCTCTCGCTTCAGCGTGGGCCACACCCCTGGATCCGATGCGTTGCTCGTCGTTGCCGTCCCCCCTCTTTCCCTCGTCCGCCTTCCCGTGGCCGTCTGGCTCCTCCTACTTCTCCTGCGCCTACTGCCAGGCAGCATGGCACACGAATTCGCGAGCACCTACCATTCGCCTCACTTCTTTTACACTCCTGCTTAGAGTTCACACAAGTCAAGCTCAGAAAATGGACTTCATTCCAAGGCTTTTCCAGTCCAGTTCCAAGTATTCCATTCCAAATCCAGTAGTCCAGTTCCAGGTATACGATAACAATGCGAAACAAGTAAGCTCCAAGAAACCCCCCAAGATCCAGCCCAAATTCTTGATTCTCCTGGAAAGGACATGAGCCCAGGGTTCTCCTTTAACTGGTGATATGTAGCCCGTTCGATGCCATACTTGAAGAGGGCCGGCGGATCAATGTGCAAAATCCCATTCTGGGTGGGGAACCGAGTTTCGCGCGTGCCGCTCGAGGAATGCCCCCCATCTCGGATCCTCGTTGCCGAACGGGGTCCGCGGACATTCGTTCTCCCTGGTGAAGAAAGACGCGGAGCGTTTTGCGCAGAATCCATACTAAATGACGAACTCCGGAGACGCTCCCGCTCCCGGATGGCGCGCCCTGCGCGCAGGTTCCTCGAGAATGTCTCGAGCCCCGCGCTTGTTTTGCAGAACTTGAGGGGCCTGGGCGCCCCAAGATGCCCACACTGATCTGGGAGTACGGTCGCACCATCATTTGCAAGGGATCGTGGCCCTGGGAGCGCGGACGCAGCGTAATGTACAAAGGATCGTGGCCCTGGGGGCGCGGACGTAATATAAGTTTACAGGGGATCGTCGCCCTGGGAGCGCGGGCGCAGCGTAATTTGCACAGGATCGTTGCCCTGGGGGTGCGGACACAATGTAATTGACTATGGATCGTGGCCCTGGGAGCGCGGACGTAGTGCAATTTACTAGGGATCGCGTCCTTGGGGGATCGGGCGCCGCGTAATTATGCAGGATCTTGGCCCTGGGAGCGCGGACGCAGCGAAATTTAAAAGGATTCGCGCCCTCGGGTCCAGCGCAGAATTTTCAGGAAACGGCGGGGAACCGAAAAGCGCTCCCCGAACACTAGGAGCGCGAGCGCACATGATTCACAAGGGGTCGTGGCCCTGGCAGCGCGGACGCAGCGCCATTCATCAAGGATCCCGGCCCTGGGAGCGCGTGCGCAGCGTAGTCTACTAGGGGTCGTGGCCCTTGGAGCGTGAACCCAGCGCAACTGCCAATGGATCGTGGCCCTGGCAGCGCGGACGCAGTGCAATTTGCAAAGGATCGTAGCCCTGGGAGCGCGACTCCCGCGTAATTTACAAAGGAACGCGGCCCTGGGAGCGCGAACCCAGCGTAATCTACGTGGGAGCTTGGCCCTGGGAGCGCGGACGCAACGAAACTTATAAGGGATTGTGGCCCTCGGGCGCGTTCCCTTGCACGTTCTGTGGCGCGTCCCCTGGGCACGACGCACGGCGCGTCCCCTGGGCACGTCCCCCAGCACGACCGCTGGCACCTTTCGTTGCGCGTCCCCCTGGCACGTTCCTTGGCGAGTCCCGTGGCGCGTCCCCCTGGCACAGCGCGCCGCGTCCCCTTGCACGTCCCCTGGGACGTCCACTGGCACGTGCCGTCCCGCGTCCCCTGGCCGAACACATATCCCAATCTAGAAAAAGTGTTGTTGTCTGCTCTTGAAAGGTGGGGCTCTTTTGGGCAAACTCCGCGGAGTGGTTTGTAGCCCTGGCAGCGCGGACGCAGCGCAATTCATAAAGGATCCCGGTCCTGGGAGCGCGGGCGCAGCGTCATTTACTACGGATCGTGGCCCTGGCAGCGTGAATCCAGCGCAGCTTCCAGTGGATCGTAGCCCTGGGAGCGTGGCTCCCGCGTAATTTACGAAGGAACGCGGCCCTGGGAGCGCGAACCCAGCGTAATTTACGTGGGAGCTTGGCCCTGGGAGCGCGGACGCAACGAAACTTATAAGGGATTGTGGCCCTCGGGCGCGTTCCCTTGCACGTTCTGTGGCGCGTCCCCTGGGTACGTCGCGCGGCGCGCCCCCTGGGCACGTCCCCCAGCACGTCTGCTGCCACGTTTCGTGGCGCGTCCCCCTGGCACGTTTCGTGGCGAGTCCCGTGGCGCGTCCCCCTGGCACAGCGCGCTGCGTCCCCTGGCACGTCACTGTGCGGCGCGGCACAGCGCAGAGCAGCACAACGCAGCCCTTTGCACAGCATCATCACTATCGATACCTTTAGCATTGCCACTGCCCATCGCCCAGTTGAGGTGCGTGGAAGAACTCCCATGCCTGGCAGTTCTAAATCCCTTTCCAGGTCCGTGGGCCGGTCATGATCATGCATGAAATATGGAGAACATGAAAAGTATTCCTTTGTTCGTAAGACTTTTGATTATGGGAGTACCAGTGCAAGGGGAGCCCAGTGGCACAGCTGAGAGAAAGAGCGAGAGAAAGAGAGATCGAGCGTCGGAGAAAACGCGCGGGTCTCCTCGCCTACGGCGCCGAAGAAGCCGGCACGGGTGGAAGATTGATGCGGTGCGGGCGCAGCTCAGAAAGATCACCGATGCCCACATCAGGGGAGTAAGACAAAACCAATGAATCACCATCAGAAAGAGAGAAATAGAGAGAGAGAGATAAAGCGAGAGAACGAGAGAGAGAGAGAAAACAAAAAAAAGAGAAAGAGAGAGAGAGAGCGTCAAAGAGTCAGCGAGAGAAAGAGAGAGAGAGAGAGATAGAGAAACGACAAACGAAGAGATGACGTAGAGGAGGCACGAGAGACGATACAACGAAGAGACAGCACGACGACGAGATGGAACACGACTTGCGAAACAAAAACCTGTATATATACACAAACTTTCGGAGTTCAGCATGAAATTCCTGGATCAGCGCTGGACCCCCCTCCCTGGCGCGTGGAGTGCGCAAGGGGCGGCGCCGGAAGCGCCGCCAGGGGGGACCCAGCGCAGATCCATGAAATCCAAAACAGCGCCGAAAGTGTATGTTTGCGCCGGTTCCCTTCTTCGAACAAAGAAGACGTGGAGATAATCGGGCTCCACATCGAGCCGCGCCGACGTTGCATCGGCGATGCATCGGCGATGCGGAGCGATCCCTCGACCCCACCTGCTCGGTTTTCCGCGTGGGAGGCCTGCAGGAACACGACAGGGACGGGAGAGACGAGCAGACGACGACGACGACGACGACGACGAGGAGGAGGAGGAGGAGGAGGAGGAGGAGGAGGAGGAGGAGGAGGAGGAGGAGGAGGAGGAGAGAGGAAGGAAGGAGGAGAAGGAGGAGGAGAGAGGGAGGAGGCGAAGAGGAGAGGAGGAGGAGGAGGAAGGAGGAGAGGAAGGAGGAGGAGGGGGAGGAGGGGAGGAAGGAGGAGGAGAGGAAGGAGGGAGAGGAAGAGAGAGGAGGAGACGGAGGAGAAGGGGAAGGAGGAGAGGAGGAGGAGGAGGAGAAGGAAGCAACGAGGAGGAGGATGGGGAGGAGGAGGAGGAAGGAGGAGGGAGGAGGAGGAGGAGGAGGAGCAGGAGCAGAGAGCAGAATGAGGAAGGAGGGAGGAGGAGGAGAGAAGGAAGGAAGCACGAGGAGAGGATGGGGGAGGAGGAGGAGGGAGGAGAAGGAGGAGGAGGAGGAGAGAGCAGGAGGAGCAGGGGAGGAGGCAGGAGCAGGAGGAGGAAGGAGGAGGAGGAGGAAGGAGGGAGGAGGAGGAGGAGGAGGCCGCCGCAGCGGAGAGCGGGGCCCGGGCGCCCGCCTCTGCCGCGGCGAGCTCGTCGAAGTCGATGCCCCCGGCCCCGGCCTCCCGCAGGGCGGCAGCGGCCTCCAGCTCTGGCGGCCCTGCGCGAGGGGCTCACTCGGGGGCATCGGGGCGCCGAGGCACTCCCCTTCTTCGGATTGTCTTTGGATGACTTTTCGGACGTCGTTTGTTCGGACGTTCCCGGAGTGTTTCCTGCCTCCAGATGCGTTCCGGCAAGTGTGCCTCGCCGAGAGCGTTCCAGGGGTGCCTGGATCGTCCCGGACGGCCGCCAGAGTCCCGAGTTCTGGCCCGAAAACCACTGGGCACTTGGGACAGGCATTGGTGGAGCGGAGGAAGAACAAACTGCGTAAACACACACTGTTGGAGCTCTGCGCGCATTTCGGGGGTCGGCGCTGGGCCCCCCTGGCAGCGCCCCTGGCGCCGCCCCTGGCTCGCTCCGCGCACGAGGGAGTGGGCCCCAGTGCCGATCCAGGAATTCCGCGCGGAGCTCACGCCGTTCTGATATCGTCACAAAAAGATATGATAGATAAAGTGAAGCTCTGGTAGATGATCTTAAGTTAGTAGTGCACATCTTAAGGTCATATTCCAGATCTTGAGTTGATCTGCCAGAATCTTCCATGCCTTCGACGGTTGAAATTGTGGGAGATACGGAAGATAGGGTTAGGGTGTTTTGAAGCGTTTTTACAGCGGTTGAAGATACGGCATATAGGTTCTGGAGTGGTTGAAGATGTAGAAGATACGTCGAAGATAGGTGTTGGCATTGCTTAGCCGTCTTATGTAAGAAAAACGCGTTGCGAACATAGGTTGACTAGACTTTCAAATACTCTTAGAAAAGAAAAATTGCGTTATGTCTGCCCCCATAGCGTTGTATTGATTGTTTTCTAGGAGGAGCGAGGAACAGGACGAGGGAGGAGGGAAA